CAAATATTTGTTGATACCTACTATGCCAGGCACTGTGCAAGGCACTGGGGATGTGAGAGTGACCCTAAAATGTTCTAGTTCAATTGTCTAAAAGGCCTCTGGATATTAGAGGATGAGAGTTCTGGGAGAGGATAGAACTGGGATAGGTGAGAAAGGTGATACAGAGTGAGGAAGGAGAGGCCAAAACTGAGCCATGGAACAGAAACACAATTAGGGGGAAGAGCATAGTAGCAAAAAAGACAGAGAAGGAATGGGCAGAGGGTTTTGAAAAGAAGCACGGTAGGGTAATTTCCTGGAAACCGAGATAAAAGATCAAAGAAGGGTTCCATCAAATGCACTGTCCAAGAAATGAGGATATACAAAAGACCACGAGACAGCGGATTAAAAAGAGAGAGAGAGATAACTGATGGCAAAATAAGTCACTCAAAAGACCTTTTTCACTTTCAGTGAAGTCTAAATGGAACCCAGATCACAGAAGTCAAAGTTTTACAAGAAAGCACTTCTGAGTCAAAGGCCTTTGGGAAATGGGATTCCATTTATTATCATGCTTCTCAAATTGGGTATTTGAAGCCACAGCACATATTGTTATGTAGCATCAGTTTTATTTGGAGGAAAATACACTGAATGAGAGAGAACACACAAAATTTGCATGAGTTTCTAAGACAAATCCTAAAATTTCAAGCATGGGGGTCATCTTCTTACTTCTAGGGCTACAAATTCACTCTCCACTTCCATAAAGGGGTACTTGGGTAGAAATTTGAGAAGCACTGATATAATGGCCAGCTATGCTGAAATGTGGGCTTGCTATTAAAACTCAAGATAACTATAATTTAAAAATAACGGTCGGGCTTCCCTGGTGGCGCAGTGGTTGGGAGTTCGCCTGCCGATGCAGGAGACACGGGTTCGTGCCCCGGTCTGGGAAGATCCCACATGCCGCGGAGTGGCTGGGCCCGTGAGCCATGGCCGCTGGGCCTGCGCGTCCGGAGCCTGTGCTCCGCAACCGGAGAGGCCACAACAGTGAGAGGTCCGCGTACCGCAAAAGAAAAAAAAAAACAAAAAACGATGAATTATGGCCTCGTATGGCAAATTACAATAAACATTTCACATTCAAAGAAGAAAAATAATGAACAAAATCTTGGATTTATCATATTTGCCACTATTTGCTATTTCTATTCATGTAACCATATATTATTTACCCTTTATGTCTATAGCTAGAGCTTGGCTACAAACTGAGAGGGAAGTCACAGTGTCAACTATACTCAGATGCTTTATCAATGCTATTTGAGAATGATGAATGTATACTAAGTACCAACCAATACTATATACATACATATGTGTGTGTGTATATATATATATACACATATATACACATATATAAAATTTATATATACACATGTAAATATGTATGTATGTGTGGTGTGTGCATAATACACATGCATAAATATGTATATACATGCATACACGTACATACACATACTGTAAACATAGATGTTAATGCAAGAATTGGTGACTGTGCTTCAAATTCTAATTTATAACAAAACAAATGAAATCCTGGCTTATGTGTAGTGTATGGTATATTGGTAAAATGGAAGTGTAGTTTTCATATGCAATTCCCTGCCAAGTAACCTGAAACACCACTTTGGCATTAGTTCCTCACAAACCAGGCTAAATACATATTTGAAAGATTTGCTCTGATATTTTCCATCTAATTTTAAACAGCATTGGTCTACAAGCCACAAGGCAATACTCACACCAAGTAAAGATTTCTTTTAAATCTTTTGTGTGAGAAAGTCATTAGATCAGTAACAGTGTAGGTAATATACAGGAGCTTCTTGAAAACGTCATGGGAAAACTATGTAGGGTTAGTAATTAAAAAAAAAATCAACTATCTAGTCTAATGTCATCTGAATGGAGAAATTAATATCAGCATCATTTATTACCCTAATGTAATTCTAATACTTAGAGATTTTTTTACTGTTTGAAAGAAAACCGATTTTAAGAATAGTTAAACCGCGTCTTTTGTAAATGTTTAGGTTTCTAAACTAAAAGTTACTTACATAGCAAATAGCTTTCATTAACTCCATCCTGTATACCTTCTCTGAAAGTACCTCTTAAGGCTAAGAAACAAAAAGCTAATGTAACACTAAATCTGAAAGACAAAATTACAGCTTTCACACATATTTCATTCAGCCTGGGCTGTTA